AACAATAAATGGAGAAAAGATTGAAATTGTCAAAGACTTCACATTACTTGGTTCTACAATCGACGCCAATGGAAGCAGCAGTCAGGACATAAGATGACGTGTAGCACTGGGCAAGTTGGCTGCAAAAGACCCCTTTCAAGTGCTGAAGAGCAAAGATGTCTCCTTGTGGACTAAGGTGTGCCTGACACAAGCCATGGTATTTTTAATTGCCTTATATGCATGTGAGAGCTGGACAGTGAATAAGGAAGACCAAAGAAAAATTGAAGCTTTTGAGCTGTGATGCTGGCATAGAATGCTGGAAGTACTGTGGACTGCTAGAAGAACTAACAGGTCTGTCCTGGAGGAAGTACAGCCAGTATGCTCCTTGGAGGCAAGAATGGCCAGACTTCGTCTCACCTAATTTGATCATGTTGTCAGAAGGGACCATTCCCTGGAGAAGGATGTCATGCTAGGCAAGGTGGAAGGTGGACGAAAGAGGGGAAGGCCCTAAATGAGATGGATTGACATGGTAGCAGCAACGATGGGCTCAAGTATAGCAAGAATCATGGAGCTGGCTCAGGACCGGGCAGTGTTTCATTCTGCTGGGCATAGGGTTGCTATGAGTCAGAGACGACTTGACGGCATCTAACAACATAACAACAAGAGAGTGCAAAAGTCTTTATTTCTAGAAAATAACCTTAGCTTTAATAAAGCCCAGAAAAGAGAATCACACTGCTTTTTAAGTTTCAGTCTTTAAGCAAAAATTGAAAACCTCACAAAAGAATCAACTGAAATAGAAAGGATAATGTAAGGGTGCTAATAAAGAACTATACTCCAACAAATTTAAAAACCCAGAAGAAATGGACAGATTTTTAAAACATGCTATCTACCTAAACACAGACTGAGGTAGAACATTTGGACAGACCCATAAAAAACCTCCCAACAAAAATGGAATAACCTTTGTTAATTGGAGGGAAAAAAAAGTCTTTTTTTCTTTATCATTTCTATGTAACTTTGTGTATAAGTACTTTAATGTTCAAAAGATGTTGTAACCTGTCACTTCAGAGGAGAAATAAAATAGTCATCTCACTCCATCTCTCTTACCTTGATCCATAGTTCAAATATTTCTATTCTTGGAACATTACTGCAGATTTGGTGCAACAAAAATTGCTTGTGGAGGAAGAATGATTCTGTAGCCTTTTATCTTTCACAATTTTAGCACTGTCCAGGTAAGTCTAACTTTGCAATCGCACCATCTAGTGTTCAAACATCCACAGTGCTGCAGCTCACCGAATGCTTCCCTTCAATAGAAGCAAAAAATACAGGAAGAAATAAGCCAGTTACCTTAAAATCAGTGTGCTTGAAAAGTGTTGATGTAATGAATAGATCATCCTTGAAGCACTAAAGCATTTTTTTTAAATATATTTCTTTTCTAATCATTATTGTCTCGTTTATTTATTGGATTTTATTTTATGAATTATTTGTATATATTCGATTTATAGTCATATAAATTATTCATAATGTATTCCATATATTTTAAATATACTTATATTTTATTTTTATTCTTCTATGTATCTGTCTAAAATTTTAAGGATCTTTTTATTGATTCTGAAGATAGCTAACCCAACTTAGACATCATGATGAATTAAAATAAAATCCAAAGATGAAAATAGATTATTGGAACATTTGATTGCACTACTTATCCTGCCCCAGGCTGTTTCGTTACTACTACTTAAAGACCAGCTGCACTACAACATAACAAGAGAAATAGAACATTATTCTCCAGTGTCATGAGTAGAAAGTTTGCCAAAGAAGACTTTAAAATTGTGTTTTCCTTTTCTTACCATTGTAACTGTTTTAGGTCTATCTTTTTTTTTTAAAAAAAAAAAGGAACATAATCTTAAGAAGTAATGAAATTGATCTCAGTTTCTAAGATTTGCTGTAGACATGATTTTTATTTTATTTAGTAGTCTTTGAAATGACCTCTTCTATATTTGCCTATCAATTTAGAATTTTAAGAGAAAGTAGTTTATTTACTTAATCATGAAAAAATAAAATTTAGTTAAAATAGGCCCTATCAAATCACTGCTACTATTTCGCTAATGGCTGTTCCAAACTGACTCCTAATGTTGAAATGGAAAACTTCAGCCCTTGCCCCTGTCTAATTCAAAAGTGGGCAAACTCTTATGGTCCATGATGATGCTGTCTAGTCCACAAACCACATCATATCCCATTCTGAGCTCTAGGCTTCTTAGCTTTTGTCAAAGCTCCCTCCATCTCACACTCTTTTTATATCCCTTGCTTTAATCAGAAATTTCTTCTTCTGTCCTTCTACTCTTACTTAGTTAATTCTTGAACACCCTTGAGGCGTCATTTTTTTTTTTTTTTTTTCAGAGAAGGTCTCCTAACCCCTAGATTAGAAATCTCTTGTTGTAACACACAATATTTTTTCTTGTTACCACTCACCAAACTTTGTAATAATATTCTTATATTATTATCTGCTTAATACCTACTGCCCTGCTGTGTTATAAACTTTGAGCAGACTAGAAAAATGCCTCCCTTATTAACCCTTTAAAGTCATAGCCACTGTGTTTTGTATAGTGCTGAACATAGCATATGTGTGCAGAAAATATGCAATTAAAACAACTTATAAATGCAAAGGTGAGAACTGAGATGCCCATTGTCTTAGCCCATGTAGTATTGTGAAGTTGACTCTGTTCCCATGCCAACCTTGGGAGCAGAGAATGGTTGCTGAAGCAGGAAATTCCAGTGTCTATATTCCAACGTGGACTTCACTGGGGACATGTCACCTCCTGTAACCCAGGCTGGGAGTGGATATAACTTCTCGCTAATTACAAAATCCCCTGACCTTATTCACTACCATTGTTCCTTGTTTATGACTCAGTGGACCTTTCAGTCCTCTGACCCTACCAATCTCTCCCATCTTAAGATCCTCCTTCCTTTTCTGGTTAGGGGGAAAGGTTGAGGAAGACCTTCCATGTTTACTGTCATCCATCTTCATGGATTAATAAAGGATGGAGAATTCAGAGAAAAAAATAGAAATATTTCAGTAAATTATCACTATTGTTGTTATTAGTTGCCATTGTGTTTTCTCTGACTCATAGCGACCCTATGTACAGCAGAACGAAACACTGCCCAGTCCTGTGCCAACCTCACAATCCCTGCTATACCTGAGCCCATTGCTGCACCCACCGTGTCAATGCTTCTTGTTGAGGGCCTTCCCCTCTTTCCCTGACCCTTCAATTTACCAAGCATGACATCCTTCTCCAGAGAATGGTCTCTTCTGACAACATGACCAAAGTAGGTGAGACAAAGTCCAGCCATTCTTGCTTCCAAGGAACACTCCAGCTGCACTTCCTCCAGGACAGACTTGTTAGTTCTTTTAGCAGTCCACGGTACTTTCAGTATTCTTGGCCAACACCACAACTCAGAAGCATCAATTCTTCTTCGGTCTTCCTTATTCGTTGTCCAGCTCTCACAAGCATATGAAGCAATTGAAAATACCAGGGCTTGGATCAGGTGCATCTTAGTCTTCAAGGAGAAATCTTTGCTCTTCAGCACTGAAAGAGGTCCTTTGCAACACATTTGCCCAATGCAATACGTCATCTGATGTCTTGATTGTTGCTTCCATTGGCATTGATTGTAGAACCAAGCATATGAAGTCTTTGACAACTTCAATCTATTCTCCATCTATTGTAATGCTGCTTATTGGTCCACTTGTGAGGATTTTTGTTTTCTTTCTATTAAGATGTAATCCATACTGCAGACTGCAGTCTTTAATTTTCTTCAGTAAGTGCTCTAAGTCATCCTCACTTTCAGCAAGCAAAGTTGTGCCATCAGCATATCTCAGGTTGTTAATGAGATATGCTCATTCAATCCTGATTGAATCAATCCTGATGCCACGTTCTTCTTCATATAGTCCAGGCTCGGATTATTTGCTCAGCAGATAGATTGAATAAGTATGGTGAAAGGATACAACCCTGATGCACTCTCTTCCTGATTTTAAACCATGCAGCGTCCCCTTGTTCTGTTTGAATAACACTCTCTTGGTCTATGTACAGGTTACTTATGAGTACAATTAATTGTTCTGGAATTCCTATTCTTCTCAGTGTTATCCATAATTTGTTATGGTCCACACAATCGAATACCTTTTCATAGTCAATAAAACACAAGTAAACATCTTTCTGGTATTCTTTGCCTTGAGCCAAAATCCACCTGACATTAGCTATGATATCCCTAGCACCACGTCCCCTTCTGAATCCAGCTTGCACCTCTGGAAGTTCTGTGTCTCTGTATTGCTGCAACCATTTTTGAATTATCTAGCTGTAAATTATCCTACAGAGTACAAAAATAATTATGCAAGTTAAACAAAGGATATGCTAAGGTTTTATTGCTTATTTTTGTAGCATTTCCCTTCTCTTTCTAGAAAACTCTGAAGATTTCTAATTCTCTTAGAATATTAGATAAATCACCTTCAAAATGAGTTCTGCTTCAAAAGGTAGGGCATGTGATAGTAAGTTTCAGAAATCCATAATCAAATTGCTAATGTCAGCTCAAGGATAAGAGTTCATCATTTTGAGACATGAAGTTAGTCATGTCAAAATTAATTTTGATATTGAATACATACATATACACTCACACATATTATATAGGTTTGCTATTTTTATAAATTAGTTTGTATTTTATAAAAAGTCTCTTTTATTCTCAATTCTATCCAAAGTTAATACTTTTGCCTAACATTAAATACACAAAGAAGAAAAATACTTCAATTTTCAAACTACACTAAAGATTATAAATGCTCTTGCACTTCCCGGTCTTCCCTGCCCATTGTGGCATCTAACAGGCATTTTATGAGTATGTGCTCCCTGAAACACAGATTGACTTGAGATTCAACTGCCAACTTATATAGGATTTTGACTCTTGGATATATATTTAATTTAAAAAAATAAAATAGCATAATATTTTCTATAAAGAATATATTCACATTTCCTTTTCCACAGCAACACAGATGTACACACAGTGGCATCACTTCTTAAGCTGTATCTTCGGGAACTTCCAGAACCAGTTATTCCTTATGCGAAATATGAAGACTTTTTATCTTGTGCCAAACTGCTCAGCAAGGATGAAGAAGCAGTAAGTCAGTGTACTCATTTCCAAATGAATATTTTGTTTTGGGGTTTTGTCTGCACTCTCAAATTGTGAAGTACCCTTTTCCTTATCCTTGGATTGTTTTCTACTACTCTATATATTGACATTGCACACACTGATAATTTATGCACGTGATGCAGGTCCCATTTTAAATCATTTCTCTCATGAAAGTGGAAAAGGAGGAAGGCAGGCTGAATAAATGCAATAACCTCTCTTCACTAGTTTGCTGTCCTAAGTGGTTAATTATGGTGCTACGTCAAACCTAACATTCGATGGAAAAATGAATACCTTGTTTCTTACTTTCCTTTTCCTTGTGTGCCTCTGCAAAATTATTTTAGCTTTAGTGCAGGGGTTAACACACAATGCAAAGATGGTATTGCATAACCCATGAACACAAAATGTACTCCTGTATTTCTTTTAAGAGTTTTGTAACTCTAGCTCTTATATTTGGATCAATGATCTATTTTGAGTTAATTTTTGTGTATGATGTTTTGTGTAAGAAAGAGTTTAGCTTCATTCATTTGCATATAGATATCCATTTGTCGCAGTATCTTTTGTTGGAGGTACTACTTCCTCTGCCTCCTCCCCGCATTGAATTGTCTTGGCACCCTTGACAAAAACTGCTATTGTTTTGGTAAATGAAGTTTTATTGAAACACGTTCATGCCATTTGTTTCCTATTGCTTATGACTACGTGGTAGCGTAGTGCCTAAGGCACTTGACTGCTAACCAGAAGGCTGGCGGTTCAAACCCACCAGCCACTCCTTGGAAGGAAGAGGGGGCAATCTACTTCCGTAGTGATACTGCCTCGGAAACCCAAGGAGGGGTCGCTATGAGTCAGGTCCGACTCAACGGCACATAACAACAACAACAACACGTTTGCCCTACAACTAAAGAACTGAGTAGTTGAAACAGAGACTGTTAAGTCCCTTAAAGTTTAAAGCAAAGAAGAACAGATCAGACTAGATTATCCCTTAGCATTACTGGGACATTTATGTTTTAGAAGAAGTTCTACAATGAGAAGAATTAAATAACATAATTCCATTGTGAAATGGGAGGGTGGAGGCATTCTAACCCTCCACCCTACCCAAATTGATGCATCCCAGGCATCACCAACCCTGAGAGACTGAATTGTCATTGTTGTTGTTGTTGTTATGTGCCGTCGGCCCCGACTCATAGCGACCCCTCCTTGGGTTTTCGAGGCAGTATCACTACGGAAGTAGGATTGCCCAACCTTCCTTCCGAGGAGTGGCTGGTGGGTTTGAACCGCCAGCCGTCTGGTTAGCAGGCAAGTGACTTAGCCACTATGCTACCATTCCTATGTTTTAATCCATTTGTGTTGAGGTGATTCTGACTTATTCCAGGCCAGCTAAAAATGGGAAGGCCCCTCACTACATCAAAACTAGTTGTTTTTTTTTTCAAATAACTTTATTGTAAAGGCCCTATTTTCTTTCCCTTCACAGCCAATTGTGAACAAATTTTAAAACAATAAAAAGGGTTTCATTGAAATCTGTTTCTCCACAGATTGTACTTATGGAAATATTTGAAATTCTTGTACTCCCACTCACTCATTCATTGCTATCGGATCAATTCTGACATAGCAACCCCCATTGGATTTCAAAGGCTGTAAGTCTTTATAGAAGCAGACTATCCCATTTGTTTTTTACAGGAACAGCTAGTGGGCTTGAGGCATTGACTTTTTAGTTAGCAGCCAAGTGCCTGAACCACTATGCCACCAAAAAAGAACAGAAAAGACCCACTGCCATCAAGTCAGTTCTGACTCATAGCAATTCCTATAAGATTTTCAAGGCTATAAATCTTTATGGAAGTAGATTGCCTCATCTTCCTCCCACAGAGTGACTAGTGGGTTTGAACCACCAACCTTCTGATGAGCAGCCAAATGCCTTACCCACTGTGTCACCAGAACTCATTTATGCCACTCAAAACCCACTGCCATCAAGTTGATTCCAACTCATAGTGACGTCCATTGGGTTTCTGAGGCAGTAAATCTTTACAGAAGTAGATTGTCCCATTTTCCTCCTACAGAGTAGCTGGTAGGTCTGAACCTCCAACCTTCTGGTTAGCAGTCAAATGCCTTAGACACTGTGCCACCAGAATGCCTTTGTTATGGCACCAAAACCAAAAAGCCAAACTCACTGCCCTTGAGTTGGATCCAACTCATAGCAACCCCTCCTTGGGTTTCCGAGGCAGTATCTCCATGGAAGTAGATTGCCTGATCTTCCTTCTGAGGAGTGACTAGTGTGTTTGAACTACCAGCCTTCTGGTTAGCACCAGAGCTCCTTAACTCATGTACATCTTTGAAAGTATTTCTAAACTGTTGTCTATGGTGGTGCCTGCTTTTCAGACCAGGGTTTTTCACTGATAATATATGAAATCAATAACCAGAATTTTATGTCCATTGCCCAGTTGCTTTTATTCTAAGGCCATCTCTTAGAAAGATAACATTTATTATCTTCTTCTTTGTATTCAGGGTGTTAAGGAACTAGCAAAGCAGGTGAAGAGTTTACCAGTGGTCAATTACAACCTCCTCAAGTATATTTGTAGGTAAGAACTGTCCTAAAGACAAAACTAAACAATATAAAATATTCTTTTTCTTCACTGAATTGCCTTGGTACTTACGTTGAAACAGCCTGTCTATTTTTATAAATAAAGCTTTATTGGAATTCATCCATGCCTGACACTGATTTACCATTTAGTAATTATTGATTACTAATCTACTATTTATACTAGCATTAATTTGCCATATGCTGTTGAATAAAATCACTCAACTGCTCTGAACTCCTTTGTTGGCCTCTGTAAAGTTAAGAGGTATGACAAGGTAATCTCAGAGTTTTCTGTGATCACTAAAACTGCTTGATTTTGTGATTTGGTGTTTATGAAGTTACTCTTATTGCCACATATTAAAGGTAGACTGCTTTGGTTTTTCATCACTATTGTTTATACCATCATTTGAAATATGTGCCTAGACATGTGAAAGAACTGCATAGGAACTCAGTTTCTGCTACTAACTAATGTACATTTCTTCAATTTTCTTATTTTCTCTGAGTCCAAGGGTCCTAAGAGGTAAAATGGTGATAAAACTACATTATTTTACAGAGTTATTTTAAAAATTAAATTATATTTTAATGATCAATATATAATAATTATATAATAATGTTTAATAAATCATGTTTTCTTTACATTTCTCTTCTACCTCAAGACTCACTGAAACAAAACACATTTGTGATTCAATTATATTAGAATAATAACTGTGGCTGGTAAAACTTTCTCTCAGTTAACATGATAAACTTAGGTGAGGATGACTGCCATTGATTTGACTCATACCGATCCCTCCTTGGGTTTCTGAGGAGGGATCTCTATGGAAGTATATTGCCCAATTTCCCTTCTGAGTAGTGGCTGGTGGTTTTGAACAGCCAGCCATCTGGTTAGCAGTCAAATGCCTTAGGCACTACACCACCAGAGCTCCCATAATAAACTTAAGGCCTAAGATATGCCAAGTCTGTGTTCCTGTTTAAGAAAACCAATATATAAAATAGATTTTTACAGTATATTTAAATAGTTTGATGATTGATGCTACAATTCACAGTAGAGTTTCTTTAAACAATAGCTCCTGGACCATCTTAAAATAAAATTGAAATATTTAATTCAGTGCAATACATACTTATTTGTATAGTGATTAGGTGTATGTTCAGCAGACTGTAAACTATGAAGTTTAAAAGTAATGCCAGACAATGTGAACTTCATTGTCAAATTCAATCAAGAATTCAAAACCACCTAACATAACTTTTTACAGTGATAGCTACGTTTAAGAAGCAAATGGGATCTTAGGTTTGAAAAAGTAAAAAACAATTTAGAGACCATTAACCTGTCTTGAAATATTTAAGAAGACTTTTGCTTTCAAATTTCTCAAGTTAAGACATAATAACTTGACTTTTTACCCATCAATTTCACTATATTTTAGGCTATCTAAAAGTGAAATGTGGAAATAGGCACTTTTTTTCAAGTCATGCCTGATATAATACTTAAAAGCAAAAACTCTAGACTCTGACTGCCAGGGTTCAAATCTTGGCTCTGCCACTTACTCTATGTCCTTGCAGAAGATATTGAACCACTCTGATGCCTGATGTCTCTCATCTATAAAATGGACTTAGTAACAGCATCTTCCTCGTAGGGATATTTTGATAATTCAATACATTAGTGTGTGAGTGCCACATAATTGTGCTGTATAAACTATATCACTTCATTTTTCATCATTTCCTTTTTATCACATCACTATAATTACTAAGCCATATAATAGAAACTCTTGTATAAGTAAAGAGTGGTTGAGGAATAAAAAAGTCTGAAAGATTGCAAAAACAATATCTACCATTAAGGACTGTGTTATGCCTCTTATTCTTTAGCACTTAATAAATTAAAACAATTTTCAATGTAAGTAGAACTGAAGTTTTAATTTAAACTATGTTTGATCTCTTAATATATTATAAATTTGAAGGTCACAAGTTATTCCATAAAATACATTGATTCTTCTTCTCTAAAATATGGGATCATTTCAGATAATCTTTACAGGTCTTAAATTGCATAAAGATATAGATATACATACAGATACAGGTATAGATAGATATATAATACTTTATTGAGGCATTGAAGTGAATCCATATTCTTGGTTCTCAAGTCCATATTAGCCTTATTCAAGTTAATTTGTTCCTGTGATTGCCAGAAACCAAGCCAGCCAGGCCACAGGTGATACTTGATATGATTCCTCAAATTTGGTCCTTAATAATTTGCAATATTTTCTTTGCTCATTTGTTTTATATATATTTGAATTTCTAAATAATTTTGTTTCCATAATCATCCTTGAGCATAGCTCTAGTTCATAAATTCCCCAATGATCCATTTTCTTTCAATGACAAATTTGATCCCATTGTGTTCCATTCATAATCTGACATCCCACAGGTTCTTGGATGAAGTACAGTCTTATTCAGGTGTTAACAAAATGAGTGTGCAGAACTTGGCAACTGTCTTTGGCCCTAATATTCTACGCCCAAAAGTGGAAGATCCTTTGACCATCATGGAGGGTGAGTAAATGACTATTTCACACCCTCTGCAAAAAGTTGAATCACGTCCTGCTCCTCTTAGCAAACTAGGAAAATAGTTGGATCCATGGTGACTCCATTCATTGACTTAGATTTAAATGCAAAATCTTCTCTTTGGGAGATAATTTTATTTATTTATTTATTTATTTTACTATATATAATAACTTACTAAATGATTCCTCAGTAGTCTTACAAAAGCAAATGTAACTTTCACAAATCATTTGCAAAGTATTATACAAGAACTTGAAAAATCTAGCACATATTGTGAGACTAATGCAATTATCAGAAAATTCAAATATTATTTTTAGTTGATATATTTTTATTACTTTTTGGTTTTAGTTGCCTTATCTGGAGAGGTACAGAAATATGACCCTTTATAAAATAATACTGCCCATTTACACATGGGTAGAAACCTAAAGGAATTCTTGTTTAGTAAAGTAGAAAATGCCCTCAAGTTCTTTTCCCCAATGAACTGCTACTTCTGCTTATTTCCACCAGGCCTCACTGCTTGAGTACTGTTTTTTCACTTGTGGCCATTAGTAGCACCATTAATTTCTGTCAAATAGCCTAATTAAACATTTAATAATTTAATAGAGGTGGGGAAAGAATGACTATTTTTTTGTTTCACTTTGTATATTTATTCTAGGATAAATTTCCCCCTTAGTTACATTGATCTTACTCCCTGATACTGTTCCCTTCTGGAAAATGGTAAGACGTTCATTTTCCTTTAAACTTTAGTATTTTTGCTTCTGTCACAAATAAATTGAAGTAATCATTTTAAATTTTAACAATGAAAAAATAAAAATATTGTTTTTCATTAGTTAACATTTACTTATGATGAGCAAGGATTATCTGTGTGGAAGATATATATGATGTATATGGAAAACCAAATCAATGTTATGATCACTAAGTGAACATAGGGTCAAACAAAAGTTGAATGATCCTAATCTGTCGATGGTATCAAGCTGTAATGACCTGGCATACAAATCTCCTCCACTGGAATATGTTTAGAGGGACAAAGTTTGTTTTTATTGTTGTAGTTATTTGGTTGGTTGGTTAGTTGGTTTATTGGTTTGTTGGTTGGTTTTAGATAGAGGATGGTCAATTAGTCACATTTTTAAATATTTTATCTTATTACCAATCAATGTATCAAATTTTTGACAGAGAATATAATTGCCATAAAAACACTAGTTGAGCAAAATATTTTGCGCTCTTGCATTTGAGGCTAGCTACCATCTCCCCTAGTAAAGTGTACACAAAATTTATAAATTATTCTGAGTCAATTCCTGTGTTATCAGTCACTAGAGACATTATTTCCTTGTCCTATCCAAGTTTTAGTGTTATGAATTATGTTATATTTGTACTTATTTTGAGGCTGTATCTCCTTACTCAAAGCTTTGTAATGTCCTACTTTTAAGAGACTAGTATTATCTAAGGGGAGAATTAACTCTTAAAATAATAATATTTTTAAATATTCCTTCCTTTATTAATTCATCCAACATTTCTTCATTCAGTACTTATTCATCAGTGAAATACTTTGTGCAATTCTCTTCACTAAACCTGCGAAGGCAAAGATGAATAAGGAAAAGTTTTGCCCTCAAGAAACTTATATTCCAGTTGGAGATTTTAACGTGTGCAAATAACAACAACAACAACAACAACATTTAATTATAACATAACATGAAAAATATTATATACATGATGTTCTGGTTACCTAGTGCCACTCTGAAAGAAATATACCACTTAAGGGGTGGCTTTTACAAACAGGATTTTATTCTGAACAGTTTTTGGAGTCTGGAAGTCCGAGTTCCATGTGCCAGGCTCTAGGGGCTGTGTGAAAAACCCTCAACCTTGGGCTTCAGCTCTGCCTCTTGCTCCCGGACCACTGAAGCTGAAGGGATCTCTTCAATCCAGCAGCTACTGGCTGCTGAGGCTGACAAGCCCAAGATTGACAAATAAAATGGCACCGTCCCAATGTTACCAATCATGACAGGCCACTAGTTCAGGTCCAGAGACAGTCCCAAGATTGGCAGGAAACATAGCAGAGGGCTGAATAAAGACCCAGCTAGCCACATGCAGGGTCCAAGCATGCCAAAAAGCTCGGGACCCTTCTCCTTATACACAGGAAACAGACCACATTCCCAACGCAGCTACTCAGCTGCTCCAGCATATCCCACCATGGAGCTGGTTGCCGGTCTCTTCATGGGGAATAACTACCACCAGCTTCCCAGCCACTCAACCAGCCCCAGCCAAGTTGACACACAACCTTAACTACCACGCATGATATGTTCAGAGGGTTAGAAGTGCACAAAATAGGAAATCAGGTCTTTCTTTTGGGACTCAGGGAAAACTTTTCCAAGGAAGGAACATTTAAACGATTATTCTACTAGAGGAAGAAGTATAGTCATACGTAAGAGGATAAAAAACACCTCAGTGTGTCTGAGTGAGAAATTTGGTAAGATCAATGATATCAGGGCATATAAGGAAGATTGGTGGAATAATGGCTGCAAATATCTCAAATGCTGTCAAGGATGTTATAAACCATTCTGCATTTAGACTTTATCCTTGTGGGAAGGAGTCCAATAATTTTTTAGGAAAATATTGTTAAGATATGATTTGTATTTCAGAAAAAAAATACTCTAGTAGCTCTGAGGATTGCCTTGGACAAAGTAGCAAACATACTGACACTATGTATTGATACTGACCTGTGTTCAGAGATTGACTTTCTATTTGTGTTCATTGCCTTCTGGGTATACATAGAACATTGCAATGTAATCAAATAACCTCTGAGACTGAAGAAGCTCCTGAGATATAATAACTGTATACAACATTAACCTGAAACTTACATTGTAGTGTTTAATCCATGTGTGATGATTCTGTCTTTCATTTGCTTTCAATATATCTTTAGCATTGAGCCTGAGTAAAAACTATTTAGCTTTGCAAATAACCCTTAAATATTTACTAACCTATAATATTTATCTTTGATGCTTTTATTATTTTGGCAGATGTTTTAAATGAATTAATTTAATTATTCTTGGCTACTTCCATACTATTTAAATTATACTGATATATGAAAAAACAAGGAGGTTTTCCTTTGTACTTTTAAAAATTCTCTCATAATTAAAATTGTCTCTTACTTTTAAAATTCTTTCTACACCCCTTAAAATTACACTACCCCTTATTACCATTCTGTTCAAGTAAAATCAATATATATATTTAAAAAAAAAACCTCACTGCTGATGAGTCCATTCAACTCATAGTGATCACTCCTTGGGTTTCCAAGTTGCTATCTCTGTGGAAGTAGATTGCCCAATCTTCCTTCCAAGGAGTGGCCACAGGGTTTGAACTGGAACCTTCTGGTTAGCGGTCAAATGCCTTAGGCACTATCTACCTCTATATACTAGATATATATGTGGTTTTGAAAAAACTCCTTTGATGACTATTTTTCAGCATTATTTAAAGTTGCCAAACACTCTCTGCCCATGATGGAGGAACAGGGCCTAGATTTACCCAACTGTATAAGGTTTACAATATCTTCCATACAGTTTAAAACTGAACATTCAAAAAAGCAGAAAAATATATGATTCATAACTGGGATAAAAATCAGTTTATACAAAAATCCACACAGACGTGACATATGCAATAAATCTTACGGCAAACAAAGATATTAAACACATTTTCATAAAAATTTTATATCTATGTTCAAAAATATAGAGGAAAATATAAACATGATTGTGATAGTTGGAGCTGTGTGTCAACTTGGCTGGACCACAATTCTGTGTGGTTTAAGCAATCGTGATGTGGGTTGTTCCAATGAAGGGATTAGATGTATGTATTTTGAGCAGCCAAGCCATTAAAAGGAAGATTCCCTAGGGTGTGGCCTGCTTCCAGTATATTTATGGACATCCTGGGAAAAGAGACACTCTTCTGTGGACCAGGATTCATAGAATTATGGACAACTGTCCATCAGTGAACAATCCACCATTCAGCCTGGAGACCTTGGATTCATCATTTGTTAGAGTCAACAGCCAGTATAATGCCTGCCAACCTTGAGCTCCTCAGCCCCTGCAGCTATGTGAGTTGGGAAAAGCTCCCAACTTGACGTTTGATCCAAGAACTTGGGACTTGCCAGCTTCTATAAGTGTGCAAGCCATTTTCCTAAGATAAATTTCTCTTTCTCTCTCTGTATAAGCTTTACTGATTTTGTTTCTCTAAAGAACCCAGTTAACACATTTGGTACTGGGAGTGGTTCTAGAGAGACAAAATCATAAGGATAGGCTTCCTAAATTGGTTCTCCAATTTGATTAATCATAAAGGCACTGATGACCTTGCCTCCATTAGTAAAGAGGACCCTGGTAATCCATGGCATGTGGTAGCAACATTAATACACAAAATAACACCACCGATAGATCAAGTACTTTTTAGAAGTGAGGCTCTGGGTGATCACATATTTGATACTTTTCTGCAATTTTGTCAGCATGAGGAGTGTAAGGAAGCTGGTTGATAGGTCTTGCTTACACTAGACAAAGTGGTGAAAGAGCAAGATGAGCTCAGGGCTGCTGAGTCACAGCTTAAGCTCCACATAACAGACCTCAATGTTTCCAGTTGTGCTCTGAAAGAAAGCCTTCTTTCTTCTAGTAACAGAGCTGATATTGCCGAAAACCAAATCCAGAGTCTTATTGTAAGGGTGACTGACTTACAACACCAATTAAATTACCAACCCAGAATGATGTCTGAAGTTAACGTGAGAGCATTGTTTGGGAAAAAATGAGATCCTGAAACCTGGAATAGGGACATATGGGCAGATAGTCAGGAAGATCAGGATATGGAGCCTGCAAATTCTGTTCAATCCGTCTCATCTGAAGGGATTACTGTAAAACATTATCCCCTCTACCTCAGTTTGATGGGGTTAACCTAACTGTTCCTGCTGGGACATTGCCTGAGGCAGAGGACATGGAAGACATTGCTGAATGTTCTCAGGA